ATTGTACCAAACAGACCCTTAATGGTGAACAAAAAGATATTATAGCTAATTTTTATGAGAAGAAATGTAACAGTCATATAATTACTTATGATAGTGAAAAAAAGCTGTAACAGTCAATTTTCATAACAAAGAGATAATACTTTTTTTTATTATTCTGAATGAAGTTTGGAATGTGAGCTCATAACCAAACGAAGCATAAGTTGTAATCTCTAGGACTCTAACTTCTACACCTTAACATAAGCGGCAGGTACAAGTTTTCTTAAGGTTGTTGCAAACTCCATAAACTGGGAATCCAAATTTCCCCTTGTCCCCATAAGTCTTGACGCAGAGGGCATTACATTGCTCTTGTGTGCAGTTTGCATCACGCAACGGGTGGTCACATTCTGATGAGGCATCCACTGCCGCTATCACCTGCTCATTGCCTGCGTTCGGTAGCATAAAACATATAATAAATCAGATTTGAAATACCATTAACCATGAAATCTAATAATAGAGTTATCTGTACTCTTAATTATAGATTTAAGGTTTAATTCTTAATTTATATATACTAAAAAAAAAATCAGATCCGAAATTAATTTTCCCTCAAAAATATACTTATTAGCAAGCAAAAATAGAGTATGTAAATCTCTCTCTCCAAAAGGAAAAAGAAAAGAAAAAAAAGGAGCAAATAAACAATGTGAAGGTCTTACCAAAGGAGAGAAACAGAGCAATCAGAAGTAGAGCAGAAAATGAGATTCTAGTCATGGTTTTGATCTGTGTTTTCTTTCTTATGGAATGCCTTTGTGCCTAGATGTTGGAGAAGGAGATCATGTCATTCAGCATTTATATAAGAAGAATTTGACTGGAAATTGGATCGCATTAATTCATTTTTTTTTGGCAAAAATATGGAAAAAGGTCCTAAACTTGTACAAAATTCTCAATTTGGACCTAAACTTCAATTTCACTTAATTAAGGTCCCAAACTATATGAAATTCTCAAATAAGGTCCCAACTGGATGGAATATTCTTTTGTTGTTAAATGTCTTTGATGCCGTTAACTATTCAGCCAACCGGATTGCCAACATGGAAACATGTTGACGCATCATTGTCACGTGGTGCCACATGGATTCTCCTTAGCTTGATTTCC